GATCATTAGTAGCTTCAATAGTGAAACTAAAAAACTCCAATTGGCCGTAGTTGATAAAAACAAAAAAAAGGAACAAACATACATTGCAGACGATCTCTAAAATAATATACTCCCTAATTATCATTTTAACTATATTCATGCAAATTAAAAAGTTGTCAAAATATACAAATATGCCCCTGTTTAATATATCATTAATTAAATGATTATAATTTAAATTCAAAGAGATTTAGTTTTTAATATGGGGTAAAATAGAAAATGTAATTGAAAAATTACATTAAAACGTAGAATGACACTTTTTTTAAACAAAAAAATAATTCTATAATGACATTCTATACAAAACGGAAAAATTACAGTGATATGAGTAGGCAGTAGCGTTTACAATAATCATATATATGACTATATTTTTCGGTTTATGCTATTATCTCCGTTGTCATCACTCGGATTCAAATCCAAAATGAAAATTAGAAGTGTATAACCCATATACATTGAATATATTGGATCTCAAATTCTTATTTATTTTCGCCTAAAAATGATTTGCTAACAGAAAGATAATGATCTTGAATTAAATCATACGGCCATGACTCCCGAAAGCAATGACGTCTCTTAATTTGTTTGTCCCAGTGTACAGAATGTTTACACATTCAAACAAGATAACATTACATAATTTCGGACCACAAAAATGATTTAGATGAATATTCTACTAAAACTTATCTCAAATATCATAAGTCTTCCCCGTCTATAGCACCCTCATACACGTCTTCAAATAATACATTTGACAAGAATTATTGAAAGACAAAAAAAAAATGAAATCAAACATTTCCAAAACTGGAAAAGAAGACAAAATTACAAGTCAAGAATATGAATTGAGAAAATAATGATTTATTTGATATTGGCCATAAGGAAAATCAATCAATCCTCTTCATATAAAAATTCCATTTTTCTGTTATAAACATTTGACATCAACAACACAACTTTGTAACAGGACAAATAAGCTTGAAATCTTGGGAAGGGAACAAAAAAAGTATATATGTTAAGATAGCCTCTTATGTTTCTATTACCTCAAGATTATACACTTTGTTTCAATGGACTCGGGTTGATTCAACGATACAACAAGTAATGTAATGTTCGGTTTCATTGAGATTCTACTTGAAGGAGGATTGGCTCTTTGCATTAAAGCTAGCAGCCGAGAAACAATAAATTACCATTTGGTTGATGTAACGCAATGCCACCTTAGTCATCCATCACCTTCTTCCTCGTTGTCCTGGTCTTGAACCTGGTTTTCTTGAAAACTGGAGCCGTAAGAACTTGGAATCAGGCTCGCTTTCATCCATTCTATAGCCTGTGGAAGGTATCAAAGAACATTATATTCAGTGCATAGGGGATAGAGATTATGGTTTAAGGATTAGAGTATTAGTTTGAGGCCATTGCGATCTAAGATTCAGGCTTATGGCGTATGGTGTAGGGTTGCTCATACGAACACTATGTATCACAATATGTATTAATGGAAAGACAATCCAAGGTAAGTAAAGATATAGAAAAAGATCAAACAACAAAAACAGACTTAACTAAACGTGTATTTATTGAAAAAGAACAATAGGATCAAACAACAAAAACAAACGTAAGCCAGGAAAACAGAAAACAAAGTGGCAAGAGCTTTCGAGAGAGCTTATTATTTACCTTGTAAGGTGCTTAGAGCAGTCGCTGCACAGGCAGGGTTTGTAAAATCAACAAAACAAAGAACAATAGGATCTCCATTCCGCTGCATTGCACACAAATACAAACACATTAGTAGGGTTTATGATTTATCAAAGTAAAATAAAATTTCAGGGACAAGCGATTTCAACAATATCCGAACTTTGAAGCAAGAAATCTTACATGTTTAGAGTCTTTGGTCACAAGTCTCACTTCCCTATATCCTACAAAAGGTCGAAATATATCTAGACCTCGGTTAAGGACAGTGGAGACAAATGGTAATCGTTAAGTTTATTAGAGGATTAAAAAAATATCGATTTCAAGTAAAAAAAAACTTGTCAGGTGTCATCAAATAGGATACGAGCTACTTCCCTCCTAGAGCAATTAGAAGGAAGTCCTTCAACGTATAGAGTGTTGGATGCATCCGGAGGTAGAGGAAGTGGTTCACGGTTACGCCTATCAACAGATTCAAGTGGATCAAAACCCATACCCCGACCATTTGAACCGTGGTCTGGAGGGAGTACTCCACCACGTCTCATCATAAACTCATCCATTGGTTGACCGTTACCTCCTGGCCTTCCCATGGCAACACCATTACGAGGACCTGGTTCTCCCAACGACATAGAAGGTGTTTGCTTCAAAACAAAAACAAAAAACAAATCTTTCAGGTCAACAAAGAAAGAAGAATGAAACCGAGAGTTTACAAAAAAACGAATCAATAAGAATAGTACCACGCTCTGGAGGTATCGATCATACGCTGAACCAATAGTTCTCGTATCGGGAACATCATGATGATCCTCGTCCCTCGGAAAATAACCACTGTGCATCTCATGGCCTGTAGGCATTGCAGACGGTGGTGGAGCTTCTAATACAAGTCAAAAACATGTAAAGTGAATTTGTAAACTATAAATCCCTTAACTACACCAAATTTGCAGAATCTGCAACTACAAAGGCAATGATTTTATGGTCAAGCATTATCAAATTCAAGCAAGCTACGAGCATAACTATCCATATCTTTCTAGCTCCTAAGTCGATAATCAAAAATGCTTAATTACGGCTTAATTTTTAGCATAACGAGCGAGAGAACAAGAGAAGAAGAGCTTACCGAAATCGGAACGGTGACGTTTCGGAGGACCACCTGGAGGTTGTTGATGATGCTGTCTCTGCTGGTTCCAGTACCCATCCGCCATGGAAGTCGGAAATCGAGAGATCACAAGCTAC